GTCGCCAACACCGTAGAATTTAGAGGAGCGACGAGATTCCCTTTTTGTTGCTGCCCCCGCCGAGGGCGACGAGGAGGGCGACGAGGAGGAGGGCGAGCGACAAGTAGACCGTGCGGCAGGGCAGGCCTGCAGATACAAAACGGGGGGAGAGATACAGAGTGGCGGGCAAGTGAGTCGGGTTTGGCGCTCACGACACCGCTTGGGCGGGAGACAGCCCGTGAGGGGTGCTCAGCCGCGGCTCTTCACGCGGGCACGGCGTAGAGAGGGGAGGGGAGGGCGGGCTGGGCGGCGGGGGGCAATCAATCGATTCTTTGGGAATGTGGAAGCGGCTGCGGCAGCCGGGGCGCTTCACCGGACGTCATGAGCGGTGCCTCGAGGCCGGGCAACAGGGAGCACGGCTCGCCTGTGCGTGCGCGCAGGCAGAGCTGTCAAAGAGTCGCGTATATTGCGATCTGACGGTGCCGATGCGTCTTATCATGTGACAAACTCCGTCTCCCTTGCCGCCGCGCTATGACCAATGTGCACTAGCACGCACAATAGGTGCCGTTGACGAGCGTGCCGTTGCCGTCGTAGACTCCCTCGCCCCACAGCGAGCCCTGCGTCGCGTTCGGAAGCAGCACGCAGGTGCTGTTGGCCTCTGAAAGCTTGGCAAAGGCACCGAACTCCACAGGCACTCCAGACGGAACCCAATACTCGAGCCAAGCCGGGCGGGGCTCGGGCGGCGCGAGAGCCGCGGCCTCCTCCTTGTCAGAAACGACGTCGGGCGAATACGCAGCCACGAAGAAAGAAGGCGAGCCTCATAGTGTGCGAACCGGAGGCAAGTCGTCCGCTCGGACCTGCGCGCGCGGTGGAAAGCATCCGTCAGATACGACGACGCGGGGGCGTCTTGATGCGGTCCAGTCGGCACGCGAGTGCGCGTGTTTGTGGGTGCAGCGACCCCAGTGTCTTTGCGGGGCCTTTGGCTTTCCGATCAGCTGCGCGTCTGAGCACTGGCAGGAGGGTTGGTCTGAGGCGCCGCCTTTTGTTTTTTTGTTTCCATAGCCGTTTTGTTTTCGCCGGACCACGAATTCCCAAATGATGTGTAATATTGCTATATGGATCTCTCTTTCTCGAAAGTTCGACCACGCAATCCACTTTATCCACACCGCATCTGATGAAGAGAAATTTCTTGTTGGTTTTCAAGTATAAGAAAGAAGAACAAGCTAGATACCAAACAACTCTAACACTGGAGGCCTGTTCACGCGCCCGCAAGACGTGCAGACAGGGTTGCCAGGTGAGAGCGAATGGCGCGGTTCACGCCTCGGCCCTCGCACAACAGAGAGAGAGTTGCGCACTGCATGGTGGGACATAAAAGAGAGCGAGTACTTGGGCGAGTAGGCCGTGCGGTCAACGCTGCCGCGTGCGACTTTGCGCGCGAGGCGGCGCAGCTTGAGAACGGCGGTGGGCGAGAAGCCGCCGCTGAACGTCTCGTGGAGCAGCTCCAGCAGGTTGAAGTTGTTGCGCTTGACAAAGATAATCGCGTCGTGGTAGAAACCGCGATGCGCCTTGACGTAGCCATGGCCGGTCTTGTGGGAGAAGGGTTGGCCGGGCTGCCCGCGCGCCTTGCAGCCCATGTTTAGGCGGCGGGCCTTCTCTTCGGTGTTGCCAAAGGCGTAGGAGTGGCCAACGGCGAGGCGGGCGTGCCGCCCCACTCGAGGCGTTGCCAACGCCCGTTGTTGTTGTTTGGTTTTCAAAAAATCTCCTAAAAGTCTCTCTGTGTGGCAATGACATGTCACACGAGAGAGCGCGCGCGCGGGCCGCGGGCGCGGCGGCGCGCGCATGGGGGCATGTACCATGCGTGTCCGTGACGCGTGGAGCAACCTGCGCAGGCGCGCCTCGCAAGAAACACCTTTCCATATCTGACTCAGATGCCAGTACTGTTTCGAAACGACCAAAATGCCCCAGCCCCTTTCGCCTTTGACGAAGCGCGACGACCCCTGCTAGCTTGTAACTACTGCAGGAGGAGGGACTCGCCTAACGGGACATGCCCCCGCCGTGACGTGTCGTGGACATGCACATTTGCCTGACTGGGGAGCGTGCCCATGACTGGGGAGCCTCCGGCGGGAGCGGCAGGGAGGTGCGTGGTCACACGCCTCCGCCCTGGCTCTCCCTCTCCCTCTTCTCCTGCAGCACCGCCCGCAGCGTGGCGCGCGGCAGGCTCGCCGGGTCCGCAAAGGCCGCGTGCCAGAGCGCGTTAAGCCGCTCGAAGCCGGCGTGGCAGGGGTGGCGCAGGTCCCACGGCTTGGCCATCGTGAAGTGAAGAATGCGGACCTCCCCCAGCCGGCAGAGGCCGCGGTGCCTCGCGTACAGCCCCTTGGTCGCGTTGAAGCACCAGGGCAGCGCCCTCCACGAGCACGGCGGCCCCGCGCCGGCCGCCCCTCGGTCGTGCGCAAAGTAGCGGTTGAGGAAATCCTGCTCGGCAAAGGCGAACGAGGCCAGGTCCGAGGCGGCGAGGGCGGCCCGCATCGCCTCCGCCGTCGCGCGGCACGGCGAGAGGACCAGCAGCCCTGCGTTGAAGTAGTGGGCAGGTGGCGCTCCCGCTGGCGGCGACAAGTAGGGGCAGCCGCCGCTGCGCCCTGAGACGCAGCTGCACTCGGGAACGGCGTGCAGCGCTGCGCCGCCGCAGAGCCGGTCGCCAAGCAGCTCGTCGCAGTTTTTGAGCAGCAGCATGTCCGCGTCGAGATAGCACAGCCGCGAAAACTCGTCCTCCCACTCCCACATCCGGAGCTTGGTCCAGCAGTGCGCAAAGTGAGCACAGGCATAGTGGGCTGCGCCAGCTGGCAAGTCGGGCGGCGCCACCTCGCGCACCTCGCAGCGGGCCAGCGCTTCGAGGCGGCCTCGCACTGCCGGCGGCACCGCCGCAGTCACGATCACGACGAGCGGGTAAGCGCTCTCGCTCGCAGTCAGAGAGCTGTGCAGCGCAATCACACCAGGGAGGTAGCTCGTGTCTGACAGTAGCGTGACGAACGCCCGCCGGGGAGTAGCGTGGGGGGGCGGCGTGGCGGGCGGCTGGCGCTTTTCTTTTTCAGCGATCGTCTGGGGGGGTCACTCCTCCTGTTTCCGACCTTGGCCGCGCTTCGCCGCCCTCGGCGCTTCTGCCCAGCGCGATTTCTTTTGGTCTTTGTGCTCTTCACGAGCCAGCGCTAGCCGAGCCTCTCTTTCGGCACACGTACGGGCAGCGAATGCCGCTCGCAGCGCTCACGCCCCTCGCTATCATCAGCGGCTGCCTGACGGTAGCCGGCGTGGGGATGCACCTGAACCACTGGCTCTTCACCGGCGAGGTGTGCGGCGCCCCCGCTGGCGCTGGCGCGCGCGCAGCTTCCGCACCCCGCCGCCGCCCCGCCGCACGCACCTGCTCAGCCCGCCCCACGCTGCGCCGCACTCACCCCTCCGTCCGCGCGTTGCCCACTCCAGTGGAACAGGTCCGACACGGACCGCTGGAAGGAGGGCCTCTGGTCGCGGGACCGCCTCATCAAAAAGGGCTACATTAAGCAGTGATCCCCGCCCCCCCGCCACCTCGCTGTGTACATTAACGTTGCACACCCAGCAGTGAGATTTGGTGTGGCGCATTCTGAATCTACTAGGCCCATATTTAGACGCGCATAAGCGCCGCACGGTTGCGTCTGCGCCGGCGCGCGCCGCTTCGCTGGGGCGCGCCGTTCTCTCTCGTTACGGGCTGTGTCTTGCGCGCGTGGCCGCGCGACGAAATACATGCTGCCGAGTGCCACGGAAAAATCAAGGAGACGCCACACGGATCCGCGGACCGCGCGCCACCACCCCACCCCGACCCGCGGCTGCACCCTCGACCCTGACCCTCGACCCCACATATTACGCAGTCAAAAACGCAACAAGCATCACGCCGTGCCCTCATCGCACCTCGCCGGCTGCCTTTTTCTTCGCGTACTGCGCCGGGGTCCACGCCTTCACCTGGCGAGAGCCGGGCCGGGCGGCGGTGAGGGTGGAGGCGGCGTGGGCGGCGGCGGCGGCGAAGGGTGGCGTTGCACGCACAGGCGGAGAGGGCGGCGGCGGTGAGGGAGGAGGCGGTGGATGCGGGCGTGCTCGCCTGGAAAGCGTGGATCTCTTTTATCTCTTCCGCCAGCAGGTCCTGCACCGCCCGATGGCGCTCGAGCAGAGCCACGCCATCAAACGCGCCGGCAACAACGACGCACTGAACCTTCTGGCCGCAGCCATCCCCGTGTGCCTCGACGGAGACGTAGCTCGGCGCGAGCTCCGATTCATACAGCTTGGCCTTCATCTGGCCAGCGATGCCGCTCGTTGCGGTGTCGCTGCCGCCGTGCGCGTGCTCGCCCGCACCGTGCAATTCATGGCTGTCGTGGCTGTGACCGGCGGTGCACGGCCTTCCAGCGTGATCGTGCTCGTGCGCGTCCTCGACGTGCCCGTGCGTCGCCATAAGAATTGATTTAGAAACGCAAGATGCGGCACGCCACACGACCGGATCGGATTCTTGCCGAGTACCGGTAGGGAGATTCACGCGATCTGTCTCGCGTTCCTCAACGCTTGCGATTCAGCTGTCGCGCCGCTGGATGATTTTGCTCAGCTCGCCGAGCTCGACCTGAACGTTTAGGGGCGCGACCGCTGAATCGCAGCCGTTCGTGGTGGCACGCATGCATCGTTGCAGTTTCAGATTACTTCCCCCCCTCCCTACTCGAGTACCAACGGGAGAGGTTTAAAACCCCCCTCCCCACCCCCTTTGCCCCCCCCCCCCCCCGCCGCCTTCCTGCTAGCTCCAGGAGGCTGCAGACACCGACACGCACACTAGATACGCGCGGATGGCCGCCGTCTTCCACGCCAGCACCGGCCGGTGCTCTATACGCGGCAGCGAAGTTGGCAATCGCCTGGCGAGCGGCGGCGCGGACACCCGCGCCGGTCGCCGGCCGTCCCCGCCGGCGGCGGGCGGCTCCGGTGGCCGCCGCGCCGCCCGCCCCGCAGGCCACCGCACCGGCGAGGTCCTCCATCGGCATCGCCGTGCCGGCGGGTGCCCCTCCGGCGGGTGCCCCCGCCTAGGGCCCCCGCTCCGGTGGTCGCCTCGAGCGGGTTGGCCGGCTGCGCCAGCGGCGCAATCTCGGGGGACTTGTAGTACATCCCGAACTCGGCGACGAGGGAGTGCTCCTCGGGCTCGTCCACGGTGATGCCCCCGGGGCAGCCCTACTGCCCTAGAGCCTAGTAGGGCTCGTCGAGCACCTTGCGCGTGTCGCCGGAGAGCAGCTTGAAGAGAGCAGCTTGAAGTGCGCCGCGGCACAGAGTCGGTCGCTGGGCAGCGCTCACCCGCATGGCGATGCGGGCTCGGCGGCGGCAGTATAGAGGGAAGAGGGGCCGAGCGGGGACCATACCCCCCCACCCCTGTCGAGGGCTAGTCTTGGGCGGTCAGGACACCATCCCCCCCCACCCTTTGGGCCGGGATGGCACCAATACCATACCCCGCAAAAAGTTGGAATACTGCTGCTATTGCCCGCCGCAGAGCCGCTTTTCACAGCTGCTCCTGTGGCGAACACATCTCGGGGGGGAGGGAGCAGCGTGAGCAACTCGAGATCCCTCGAGAGTTCACGCGGAGTATAGGCTGGGGCTATACCAGATAGCAAGACGACTGGTGATGAGGCGAGAAAGAAGCCGAAAACTCGTACACCGCCCCCCTGAGATGCCTGCTCTGTTTGTGTCACTGGGCACCACGTGGGCACGGGACTGGCAGTCTGGCACACACGCACACTGGCACACTAACACAGGTACACAAAGAGAAACGTCTTTTTCTTTTAGGACACAGTCGGGAACATGTCCTCCACAGACGCCAGCAGGGTCCGGTAGCTGTGACGCGCGTCCCCCGTGTGTTCCGCAGCGGCCTGGGACTGCTGTGGCTGCTGCGCAACCGCCAGTCGCGTCTCCTTGTCCACAATGAAGATCCGTTCACGCGGGATGCCGGCCGCCTCGTAGGCGCCGAGGTCTGTTGGCCGGTTTCCAAACGCAGCGTGAAGGGAGCCGGCGTAAAACATGCCAGCCACCTGCGCGGAGCGAGACGAGCTTGGATTGGGCGGGATGCGCGGGAGGGACCTGCTCGCGCCTGCTCGAGGATGTCAATCTTGAAGAGATGCGCCGTGTGGTCGAACTGGGCGCGGGAGAGGCCGGGAGTGGGCAGAGGTGAAGAGTGGGGAGGGTAGCTCTCCACGCCAAGGGTTCGCACCTCCCGGATGAGCGCATCGGCCATCCGGCTCGGAGAGGTGATCACAGGCCCCTCGGGCAGTGAGTCGACCGTCTCGCCGCCAGCGCGATGCTGCCGCAAGCCGGAGATGTACTGCTTGGTGCGGTCTGCGAGGCCAATGTTGCGACTCGACAAGTAGACCACGCAAAATCCGCGAGCTGCGATGGCGGTGTACAACTGCGCAACACCCTCGTGCGCGTAGTCGTCCCACCCTGAGGGGGAGGGGGGGGGCGTGCCGACCCGTGTACGAAGGATTCGGTTGAGACCGGCCTCGTTCACCGATCGCGGGCAGGATGTTGCCACGCACGTCGGAGCGCGTTACGGTGCCGTCGATGTCGCTGATGACCAGTCTCGAGCTTGGCTCCCAGCTGAAGGAGAGGGACGAGGCGAGTGAGAGATGGCCTTCGGTCTGCTACTAGCCAGCTGGAGGAGAGGGACGAGGTGAGTGAGAGATGGCCTTCGGTCTGCTACTAGCCAGCTGGAGGAGAGGGACGAGGTGAGTGAGAGATGGCCTTCGGTCTGCTACTAGCCAGCTGGAGGAGAGGGACGAGGCGAGTGAGTGGTGGCCTTCGGTCTGCTACTAGCCAGCTGGAGGAGAGGGACGAGGTGAGTGAGTGGTGGCCTTCGGTCTGCTACTAGCCAGCTGGAGGAGAGGGACGAGGTGAGTGAGAGATGGCCTTCGGTCTGCTACTAGCCAGCTGGAGGAGAGGGACGAGGTGAGTGAGAGATGGCCTTCGGTCTGCTACTAGCCAGCTGGAGGAGAGGGACGAGGCGAGTGAGTGGTGGCCTTCGGTCTGCTACTAGCCAGTTGGAGGAGAGGGACGAGGCGAGTGAGTGGTGGCCTTTGGTCTGCTACTAGCACTACACCTCTCCATCTCCGTACTCCTCTCTCCACCTCCACCTCCGCTACCTGCCATGCAATGACCAATGTCTCCCGGCGCATCTAAGAGCCCGTGACAGGAAGAGGTTCGTCGTGACCTCAGTTTCGCCGTGCAGGCGCGATCGGACGGAGAAGCACACCTCGTTCCGCCCGCCCTGGAGCCTGAGGCACCTCAGCCAGTCAGGCGGAGGGTGCGCAGCCAGAGCCTGCTCGTCGCTGCCGCCCGCCACCCCTGGCGCCTTTTGCGCACTGCCGGCGACGAATCGACCCTCTCCTGCAGCGCTCAACACCATGCGACAGCTTTTCTCATCGGCCTCAACTCCATTGACGCGGATCGTGACGGGACGCTCTCGGCTCTGAACGACCTTGAGCAACCCAAAGCGGACATGCCACGCGGTGGTTGCGAGGGTGCCGTCGGCAGAGCGCACGGCGATAATGTCGACAGCGCCCGAGAGTGTGGCTGTGTTCGTGTCAGGGAGAATCGCCGAGAGGGCTTGACGCATGCCTGAACGAGCGAGTGAACCACGAAGTTGTGGATTGGAGGACGCACGTCCCGTGTTGTTATCTTTTTCAGTGTACGTGTCTCAGTCTAGCGTCCACCATACCGCGTTGGTGTCCAGTCCGAGCCTGGCTGTTCTTCACCTTCCTAACTAACTAACTAACTCTCTCTCTCAGTTGTGCATGTATGTGGCTCTTCCGAACATAGGGAGGGTGGTTGGTACCTTTCGTGAAACTGAAACGCGGAACGCGATCTGTCTCGCGTTCCTCAACGCTTGCGATAAAGCTGTCGCGCCGCTGGATGATCTTGCTCAGCTCGCCGAGCTCGACCTGAACGCTCAGCGGCGCGACCGCTGAATCGCAGCCGTTCGGCTGCACGCATGCATCGTTGCAGTTTCAGATTACTTCCCCCCCTCCCTACCCGAGGGCTGCTGTTTTTTCGGTGTTTCTCGCGAAAGAGAAGGTGGACTGCTGACAGGATTTGCGATGAGGAGCGACTCCGAAGTGGGTGTCTCTGGTTAGTAACCCGATTAACCCCTTTCCTTCCTTTTGACCGCGCAAGATAAAAGGGTGGCTAAGGGCTCTGCCCGCAAGGCGCCCGCGTCGCAGACGCGGTACCATTGACAAATCTGCAATATACCCCCACACGAACAAATAGCAAAATCCGAATACCGTGCAGAAACCATGTGATCTCGGCCGTGGACGGGGGCAAGCTTTCAGCTCGTGCCAAGACATCGCTCGTCGGGGACGCGCGCGACGCCTGTAACAAGCTGCCTTTTGACAATGCGCTGCGCGACAAGATAGCTACCGAACTGGATCGCATCGAGGCTGCTCCGCCTCTCGAGCGCATGTTGGTGACGAAAGTCGAAGCCGCCGGTCAAGAGGTGGGCGGAATTGGTCAGCCGGCAGAAGGATCCGTCCATCAAGACGCGTCGTCAGGCTGCGCTCACCGCCATGCTGCGCGTCGTCGACCGCCTCCCCGCTCGGGGGCCAAGCCAAGGTGCTGCGTACTCGAGTAGCCTTACTGACCCTACTGTAGGAACCTTTCATGCTCCAAGGTGACGCAGCCAGCCCCATCCGCCCCCCTTGCACAGACTCTTCCCGCTTGACTGAAACCAGAGGGGTGAGGAACCACCCGACCCAGTTAATGGCGCGTCGGGGCCAGCGCCTTCAAATGCGCCCCAACCCTCCACTGCTGCCGCCTCATCCTGCGCTGCCACCGGTGCGCGCCGGCTCGAGGCTTTCCGGGCACAAGGCGGCAACACTGTCCGCGCAGGTGTGCGGCGCTCGTCGAGATTGACGGCAGGGCGTTGGGCTCGGCGGCGATGTTGGAGGGTGCGCGTGCGGGTGAGGCGTCCGCGGGTGAGGCGTCCGGCCGCTAGTGTGCGCACCCTCGAGCCGTCACGACCCCGACCGTCAGTCAGCTTCTCTGCGTGAATGTATGGCTATAGCGTGCTTCCACTGCGCGCCCGCGCCTGCGGCGCCGCCGCGGCTCCCCACCCTTTTGCGCAGCAACACCTTAAACTTTTCAGGCCCTCCAAATTCGGGTCGGAGCGTAGCGGAGTGGGCCCCGAGTTTGAAAAAGGCGACGGACGCTTGCGTCCTAGCCTCCAACAACGCCTCCCCGGCGCAGAGCCAGAGGGGCCCCCAGAGGGATGCACAACCGACCCTACTGTCTGAATTCGCGGAGCGAAGAAAATTTTATACGGAATACGTCCATTTTGGGAGCTTGGAATACGGCGTATTCCATGGAATACGTGGAATACGGGTGGAATACGGCAGAATACAGGCCTCTGGGAGGTCATTTGGAATACGTGGAAAACGTATTCAGACAGTAGGCAACCGACCCACGCCACGCCGCTTGCGGCGGTCCTCTTCCCAGCTCCGCTGAGGGCCCGTGCGTTATTTTCAGCTTATTCCGAAGATTGATGCACTTGGAGCACTTGGAGTGCAGTTATCAACCTCGCATCCAGGGCCGGGGAGCTAATAAGAAGCGCACCAAGCGAGCCGGATGATCGGTATCGGGTTACGGGCTAGAGAGCCCTAGCCCCGGGGGTGCGCGTTCGCAGCATGCTGGAGCACTTGGAGCACTTGGAGTGCAGTCATCAACCTCACATCCAGGGCCGGGGAGCTAAGAAGCGCACCAGCAGCCGGATGATCGGCTCAAATCGCGCTGTCTTCTCTTTCTGGTGCCGTTGGCGGAGGGCTCGAGGGTCGGGCGGCAAGTGGTCGTGGTGATCAGAGATGTACCTTCAGACGCGCAGGTACCTCGGCTCGGCCGCACAGCTCGGCCAGAGAAAGCTCAGGGCCGCTCAGGCCGAGCTTGCGGCGGCTCAAGAGCTCGGCCAGAGCAGGCTGCTCGCAGCGCAAGAGCTGGGTCAGAGCAAGCTCACCTCAGCGGCCGAGTTGGGGCAGAGCAAGCTCACCGCGCTGAAAGGCGCTTTGCACTACGAGGTCCCAGACACGACCCTCTTCTCCCTCGTCGGCACCACGCTCAACCTGCTGAACGGCACGACGGGGCCCGGTCTGCTGGCGCTCCCGCTGGCGTTCGCGCGGTGCGGCTGGCTGATGGGCACGGTGATGCTGCTGGGCGTGTTTGCGCTCAACCACGCGAGCCTACTGCTCCTGCTGCGCGCCTGCCTCACCACGCGCGAGCACTCGTACATCGGCCTCTGCTCGCACGTGGCGGACGGGATCGCCTCGCTGATCGACTGGTCGTCGCTCCTCTTCTTCTTCGGGTCCTCCGTCTCGTACCTGGTCATCATCGGAGAAGCCTTCACCGTCCTCACCTCCTCGCTCGGCGACGGTAGCGTCTACGACGGCGGGCCAGTCAGCGACGGCCCGCTCCACTACTCCCTCCTCGCCCTGCTCCTGCTCGTCGCCTTCACCGCGGTTTGTCTGACGCCGCTCTCGCTCCTGCGCAGCATGGACGCGCTGCAGTGCACTTCCGCCGTCGGGATGGGATGCCTCTTCTTCACCGTCGCCGTCGTTGCCCTCACCCCGCCGCCGCCCGACGCCGCCGCCGCCGAGCCTCTCCCCGCCGCCATCTTCTCTGCGGAGGCCCTCCTCTCGCTGCCTACCCTCGCCTTCTGCTTCTCGTCCCAGTCCCTCTTCCCGCCCGCCCTCGAGACGCTGCACCAGCCGGCGACGTACGCTTACATGCACCGCGTCGTCGACACCACCATGTACGTCACCCTCGCCCTCCACCTCCTCGTCGGACTCGTCGGCTCGCTCGCGTATGGCAGCGCCGTGCGGCCGAACGTGCTCGACTCTCTGCCGCAGACGAGCGTCGTGCTCGCCGCCAGGCTGGCGGTGGTCCTCGCCTTCGCCTTCACCTTCCCGATGATGGTCTTCCTCTGCCGCATGCATTTGCGTGCCATCCTCGCGCGCAGCGAGCTCGTGCCGCGCGCGACCGACGCTCTCGTCGAGCACGTCGATGCGCCGCGCGAAAGGGTCAGCGACCCGTTCCGCCACACCGCCGTGTCGCTGCTGCTCGTGGGTAGCTCCCTGCTCTGCGCGATCGTCTTTCCGAACATCGACGCGATCTTCGGCTTGCTCGGCGGCACCACGTCGGTCGTCCTCTCCTTCGTCGCGCCCGCTGTCTTTTGGGAGGCGCGCGCCGCCCCAGTTGCTAATGATCATGGCTTTGAGGAATGGCCTTCGACGAGTTGCTAACGGTGGATGGCATATGGTGTGTGAATGACCAACGGCCGCGGTGTGCTCGCAGGCGTGCGTCGGCTACATGTACAACTGGACCCACCCGCGCCGCCTCTTTTGCAAGCTGCTCCTCGGCTTCTCGGCCTGCACCGCGGCCCTCTCTCCCTCTGACACCCAGATCACGCGAGATCACCCGAGATGAACCGAGATCTAGGCGTGCATCGCGGCCCTCTCCCTCCCGTCTGTCCTCGTGGCTGTCCTCGACAACCTGCACGCCTCACCAGATGCAACACACCTGCGGGGGTAGACGTACACGTTGTGTCTTGAATGCGCTGCACGATCCCGTCTCCCCGCCCCAAGCTTGCTGTGCGCTCACCCACTTACCGGAGATCATCCGAGATTTGGCTACCAGGTACGCCACAGCTTCGTGGGTGCCGATGGCGTCGACCACGGGCACGCTGCAGAAGTGGCGGCCCAAGCAGGAACGGCTCATTGCTCATCCTTGCTCGTGAGATACTCAGGCACGCTGCAGAAGTGGAGCGGCGGCCTCGAGCTCGAGCGCGCCGTCAACAGCTCCGCGGCAAGCAGCGCGGCCGAAGGCCCGACGCTCGCCGGCGCGACGCTTCAAGTGGCGGATTTCAATGCTTACTCATCAAAGTTATTGATCATGAAGGCCCGATGCTCGCTGGCGCGACGCTGCAGCTGGGCAAGGCGCTCCGGGGCGGCGTCGACTTGAAGAAGCTCGGCAAGGCCCTCAAGGGCGGCATCGACGTCGACAAGGCCTTTGGGCGGAGGCACAAGCAGCGGCCGCCCGCCGGCGGCAGCAGTGCCAGTGGGGGAGGCGGGCCGGGCAGCAAAGCTCGCGCCCAGCCTCCTGGACGGAAGAAACCTAACGGAGCGGGAGAATAGCAGGGCGAGCCAACGCGCTCGAGGTGTTGGTTGCATGTTCCATTTCCAAAATCCAAAACGCAAAATGTATAGCCCCCCCCCCCAAGAAACACAGCCCGTGGGTAACCTAGCTCGACGGAGAGTCGGAGTCCGACCCGCCGCCGCCCTCCAACCCGCCGCCCCGCAGCAGCGCGGCACGGTGGGCCTCCTCCTGCGCCGGCAGCAGCACTCTCGGGAAGACCCACTTGCCGCTCCTAGAGGCCGACAGCTGTGAGTCGGCAAACAGAACGCAGTCCAGCTGCCGCCCTGCCCCTTCTCGGACCGCGGCCGGCGCGCCATCGCGTCGGCGCGGCAGCGGCAGTACGCGGCGCGCTGCCCCTCCGGCAGCGCCTGCAGCGCCGCCTCGTGCTCCCGCTCCAGCCGGCCAATCTCGGCGGCGAGACGCAGCGGCGCCTCCTCGCCGAAGGCGTGCACCGCGCCGCGCAGCACGTTGAACGAGTTTTGGGCGACGTCCTTCTCGTAATCGAACAGGTCGTCTGCCACGTCGGTGAGCACCTCGTCCACGCGCAGAAACGCGCGCAGCTGCGGCGAGGGCGGCGCCGCGCTGAGCGAGCCTGTTCACGGCTCCTGCTCACGGTGAGTGAGGGAGCAGGACGCCGGTGAACTGGACCGCTGGCCGAGCCGAGCAGCGCGTGCAACACTCTGTAGTCGAAGCTCTTGAGCGAGCTCGCCTCCAGCACCTCCCCCCACCCGACCGGCTCTCGCCTGTCCTCGCAGCGGCAGGCGTGAAGAGACGCTGTTCACGCGCAGCTCCTGCGCCCACCCGACAAGCGGGCGCCTGCAGGAAGGTTCCGAGACGGCTCCCAGAAGGCTCCGGGCAGCACCTCCTCCGAGCCGACCGGTCGCCGCAGCATCGCCGCACACAGCCGCCGCTCGAGCGCCCAGTACTCTCTCCCGGCGGCGAGCTCCGCCTCCACCTCGGGCAGCAGCAGCCCCTCGCCCTCGAGCACGGCGCGCAGCGCCGCCTCCGTCGGGCCAGCCGCCTCCGCCTCTCGCCTTCCCCTCCGCGCGAGCTCCTCGTTGTCCTGGTCGAGCTGGTAGATGGCCGCCTCGACAAACGTGAGCTGCGGCAGCCAGCGGAAGAAGTCGACCTGCGCCAGCCCGTGCAGCGGCAGGTAGAACTTGCTAAAGTCGTCGAGGGTCGTCCGCGCGCGGCGCAGTGAGTCGAACGAGACGACGGGCGCATCCACGCCAGGCGGTGCGGCGGCAGGCGGGCCGCTGCGCGCGGCGAGGAAGAGGCGGTGGAGCACGCGCAGGGGGAGTTCAGCGAGGCTGGCGCTGGGACCGTCCGCGTCGACGAGGCGGCAGGCGAACCGGTCAAAGGTCCGAGCTCTGCCCACCTCGGCCACCACAGCGCTCGCCAGCGGCCCGCACACGCTGTCGTCCGGGTAGTGCGGCCGCAGCAGCCGCGAGACCGCGTCGACGCGCTGAAGCTGCGCGAGCTTTGCCATTAAGCTCTCGCCCACGCTTTGTGCGCTGGGGGCGACGCCCGCCTGCTCGGCCATGCGAAGCCCACCACTGCTCGGTCCGCGAGAGTGTTAAAGCTCGGTCCGCGAGGGCCAAGAGTCTGCCGCCGAGTCGGCTCTCTGGATGAGGGAAGACGCACACACGCCTCCATCCACGCACTTGAGCACTGGATAGGGTCGAATCCGCATGGTACGGGACCCCTCGATCGTCTCGCCCTCCCTCACTGGTGTGTTCATTGGGGGGGGTCATAACAAACACGGTACAGGATCGAGGTGCACGCTGCCGAAGCAGTGTCGTCCCCCCTCTCCCCGACGGCGATGGCGGTGTGTGTGACCGATCGAGCTCCATCCACTGACCACTCCACTCAGAACACCGCAGACTTTTGAAAAGTGACAAGTGCGCTGCCGCAGGCCCAGGCGAAGAGAAATTTTGAGCTGCAGCTGGGGCTCCGGACCCGTTCACACTCGTGTGTGGGCCCTTTCTTGGGGCCGCGCCTGCGGCGCCCCGTGGTTTCTTAGATTTTTGCGGAAATCGCTTGGTAGGGTTTCTTGCGACGTTTTCTTAATGCCCGCAACCCACTGTATTTTGACCGCGCAAGATAAAAGGCTGGCTAAGGGCTCTGCCCGCAAGGCGCCCGCGTCGCAGACGCGGTACCATTGACAAATCTGCAAAATATACCCCCACACGAACAAATAGCAAAATCCGAATACCGTGCAGAAACCATGTGATCTCGGCCGTGGACGGGGGCAAGCCTTCAGCTGGTGCCAAGACAATCGTAAAATTGAAGCCAAGAACGTCCGCCAAATCCGTGCTAGGGAAAGCTGATCGAGCCCAGCGTGCCCGCGGCCGCCTCCCGCGCAGCACCGCCGCTGGGGACGACACGCTGCGGAATCGAATCAGCCCATGCACGGGCAAAGAAGGACGCTGCAGAAGCGGTTGGAGAGGCAGCCGGCGTCTGCCGTCACAACGAGTCCCAGCGCTGTGGTTGGACATGCGCGTCGGCTCGCCCGAGGACTGCCACGCCCGGCAAGACTTTAGCCTTGGCCACCCTCCTTGCGGAGCAGGAGGAGATCCGCTCTCGGTCGGGCAACGTGGCACAGCTAGTCGGAGACTCGGTAGTTGTGACCCCCCTCTGTCGCTCTGAGTGAGGACAGGAGAGAGAGAGCTTTTGTGGTGTTGGTGTACGCAACAACGGGACAGGGTAGTCGTTCTCTCTAGCTCCCCTTCTAGCTCTTAGCATGAGCTGCGCCCTGTGTCCGACCCCTTTTGCGCAGCAACACCTTAAACTTGTAGGCCCTCCAAATTCGGGTCGGAGCGTAGCGGAGTGGGCCCCGAGTTTGAAAAGGGCGACGGACGCTTGCGTCCTAGCCTCCAACAACGCCTCCCCGGCGCAGAGGGGCCCCCGGAGGGATGCACAACCGCTCCACGCCACGCCGCTTGCGGCGGTCCTACCCCCAGCTCCGCTGAGGGCCGGCGTTATTTTCTTTCGTGCGTTAGTGTCTTTGCGACGGACTGTTGTAAAATTTCTTTTCTCGGGGAGCCTGCTACACGACATGAGCGTACCGTTGCTCCTCGCACAACACAACTTTTCGTCGGCTCTACACGCGCACTCGCCGCTCCTCGTCCTCTACCTGGCCGCCGGCTCGCTCCCGCCAGAGCCGCCAGGCGCTTTGGCGGCCGCGGCGCAGCTCCTGGGCCATGGCAGCGGGGCCGTGGCGCTGTGCGACGACGAGGTGCTCGCAAGCTCCGCGGGCGTCGTTGCACTGCCAGCGCTGCGGCTGCACCACCACGCCGTGGACGGCGCGGAGGTGTACAAGGGCAACTTTGTCGCGTGGGAGATGGCGGCATTTGTGAGGCGGCACGCGCGAAGCGAGCCGCAGGAGGTCAACACCGGGCGCGAGCTGGCGGCGGAGGCGGAGGCCGCGGAGGGCGGCGCGCTCGTCCTCTTCTCGTCCGACTCGTCCGATGCGCCCGCAGCGCGCCGCGCTCTCGCCGCGCTCGCTGCGGACGGTGCTCTGCGCCGAACCGGCTTCATTGTTGCTCCCGCGGGTCTCTTCTCGAGGTGGTGCCCGCCGCCGCTCGACAGCGATGCGGGCCCGTGCGAGCCGACGGCGGAGGACGAGCGCCTGCACGCCGCCGCCTCCCTCCCGCCCACGCGCGCCGGCCCACGGCCCTCGCCCTCCTCCGCACGCGTCGTGCTGCTGCGGAGGGGCGAGGCTGTCGGGTTCGAGGGAGACGTGCGAGACGAGGCGGAGCTGCTAGGCACTTCCGAGGACACTTTCTAGACACTTGTTCACTCCCTTCCCACTCCCTCGGCACTCTTCCTGGACACCTCGTGGACACCTCGTGGACACCTCGTGGACACCCTCCTCTTCTTAGGCGCAGCTCCGCGCCTTCCTCCGGCGGCACCACACGCCCCTCCTCGCAGAGGTGTCGCCCTCAACCTACGAGCTGTACCGCGCGTCTCTCTCCGCACCAGCCAGGGGCGAGACCGCCGGCGGCCAGGAGACCGGCGGCGAGGAGGGCGGGGCGGAGGGTGGCGGGGCGGAGGGTGGCGGGGCGGAGGGTGGCGGGGCGCCCGAGGTCGGGCTTCCGATGGTGTGGCTATTGCTGAATGCCTCTTCGGCCGACGCGCTGCAGGCGTCGCACACTGCGAGGGCGGCTCACACTGCTGTGGCTCATTCGCAGTCCTGCCTGCTTTGCGATCAGGCGGCGCACACTGCGCGGGTGGGCGCGGTGCTGCGGCGCGTTGCCCTCGCGATGAGAGGCGACGCCCCCCCTTTGGGGAGGCGGACTTTCTTTTGATGTGGTCACAGCTCCGTTTGTGCACCTGCAGGCGAGGCCCTCTTCGGCTGGATCGATGCGAACAGGCACCGGCACCACCTGCCAGTCTCCGCACGGATCCCCGCCCTCGCGGCCGACCACGCCAACCTCCACTACGTCTACCCCCTCCCGCTCGACTTCCTGCCCGCACACACCGCTGCCGCTGCCGTGGCGGCCGACGGCGGCGTCGCGGCAGCAGACTCCACTACCGACGCCGCGGCGCCCGACGCCGGCAAAGAACGCGGCGAGCTGTCGCCCCCCCGGCTGCGAGATGCGACTCCTCACAGGCATTCTGCCAAGCAGGCGCCTACCACGGCGAGCTCTACGCGCCGGTGATGCAGTGGGCCCGCTCGGTCGCCGCCGGCTCGCTGCCGCCGACGCTCCGGTCCGAGGAGCCTCCGCTCGACAACCTGGGCCCTGTGGTGCGGCTGGTCGGCAGCACGCTCGAGCCGCTCGCGCTTCGCTCCGCGGCGGACGTGCTGTTGTGCGTGCACGCGCCGTGGGACGAGGTTGCATCGAGCCGAGACCGAGCCAGAGATCTGGCGGAGGTGTGGCGGAGGTGTGGCCGGGGTGTGGCCGGGGTGTGCTCGCGCCGCGAGACGAGGGGGGCGAGCCGGAGGCGCTCACACCGCCTCGGACTCGCTGCCCGCACCCGCAGGTGGACGTGCTGCCCGAGCTCGAGGTGTTCGCCCGCCTCTGGGCGCACGAGCGGCGCGTGCGGGTCGCATCGATCGACGTGTCTCGCAATGACTTGCCGCGCCGCCTCCGCCTCGAGCGCACGCCCGCCCTCCTCTTCTTCCGCGGCGACGAGCCCGCGTCGGCGGCGCGACTTCTCCGCCGTCCAGAGGCCCTCCCGAGGACGCGGGCTTACCCGCGGCCGCCCCCCTCCTAGGCTCCGCGAGACTTCTCCGCCGTCGCGTCGCGCGACGCCCTGATGGAGCACGTGCTCGAGCACACCTCGATCAAGGGCCTCGAGCGACCCGTCGACACCGAGCAGCTGCGCGAGCTTGTCGGTGCGTTGCCGAGGCTCGCGGCCGACGCGCAGCGGTTGCTGCAGGAGAACGAGCGCCTCTCCGCGGAGCTGGACAAGGCCAGGGCGCGCCTCGACGCGCACGCGGGTGGCCCCTCGGCGGGCTCCTAGAGCCATCTATGGGGGGTCTGGGGAGCGTTCAAACGGCGAGGCAGTCGTCGGCGCATGAGACTGAGCAGGCGCCCGTGCGCCGCCGCCAAGTCTCGCCGTCGGCGTTCCTGGACTTTGAGGACACCCGTCCCGCTCCCCGGGGAGCGTGGAGCGCGCGCAGCCCGCAGTTGCGAGCTGAGCATCGAGCAAGCAGCCGCATTGTGATTTGTGTCAGTCGACAGTCTGGAGTCCCAGTGAACTCTTTCAACAATTTCTTGGGATCTGAGAATTTCTTCTCCATCAGCAATCGAATATATCGCACCGTCTCGCTCGATTTCAAAACCTTCATGCTTCAACACACCGCGTAAACCTTCACATGCTTCAATCAACATACCGCGTGGCGCGTGCTGCGACGTGCGAGGAGCACCGGAGCACCGTACATCGCATGTAGTGGGACAGCTATATCAACGTACCCTTTCCAGCTTCCCCTCTCTTGTTCGGAATCGCCGCCTCGCCTCGTCGCCAAAACTCTTCCGTGCCTAACCGTCGGCTCGCCGCCGTCTTGACTCCCGCTTGGACGTCGGACAGGTAATCCTGAAGAAAGCAGAAATTGCCGAGATAGCACAGCGCGCAGAGGATCAGGGCGACGATGCAAAACATTTGCAAGGTTTCTTGATCGTCTGCGTGGTGCCGGATCGTCTTCTCCTCCTCTGTCTCATTCGCAAAAATCCGCTCGTCCTCCTCCTCCTTCTTCCTCCTCGATCTCCCAAGCATGGCGCCGCTCGCAAGCATGGAGCGCGCGTGCTCTGAGCGTACAGCAGGCTCGGAGAGCACGCGTGGCGAGGGCGAGGCGGGCGGCTGCGGCGAGAGCGAGGCGGGCGGCTGCGGCGCCGCATTGCCCGCGGTCGCACGGACGCTGTCGTCGAGCAAGAGAGCGACCAGGCATCGGCGCATCACGAAGCGAGCCCGCGTGGGTGAGACTTTGGACATGGGCCGCCTCTGGAGGTTCCTCCACTCTTGGTTTTGGGTAGAGCTCTACGGCTTGAGCAGCTCTGGCTTGAGTGCTATTAGCACACGACGCTTTCTTTTTCGTTGGAGCTCACAAAGGGCTCGCGGGTTTCTCCTTCATCGAACACCGCCGTCGCCTAGACTCCCCTGCGTCACTACGTGCCTGCCCGTCTTTGTAGCCTGGCGTTGTGCCCCGTTAGGAAATAAGAAACCGAAGTACCTCGGCCCTCCCTCGGCCTCCACCCCTTGCCACCGGACCGCCCAGAGCGATCGGCCTTCCCAAGTTACATCCATGGGCACCGCCCAGAGCGCACCCGTGACTGGCGCGGTTCGCCCGCCCAGCGTGCGTCTCGATGCCAACGATGACGCGCCATACGAACGCGCCATGCTCGCCGCCCTCGACGCAAAGAAGCCGCTCCCAGTCCGCGCTGTCGGCGGGAAGAGTGCGAGTCTGATGAGGCTGTATGGTACGCCCGGCGTCTCGTCTTACGTGCCGGGCGGATATGCCATCACCGTCGACTTTTTCGCAGAGTGGACTGCCGCTGTGACGGCGTCGAGGGAGTGGGCCGCCGCCGAGCCAAAGCTCGGGACGCCAGAGGGGCCACGGCTGTGCGTGGGCCTCAAGAGGCTGGCGCAGCGGCTGCCGCTGAGTGCCGCCCAGACCGCGTGCCTAGACACCGTCCGGCGAGCAATGGAGGCGTGGCCCGGCCGGCTGGCGGCGGTCCGCTCCTCGGCGCCAGAGGAGGACGGCACGGGCGCCTCGTTCGCCGGCGTCTTCGAGACAAAGCTCGGCGTCTCTCCCGAAGGCCTGGAGGCGGCGATCCGGGCCTGCTTCGCGTCCGTCTTCGACCACCGCGTGTTCAGCTACGCCGGCGCGCACAAGCCCGCCTTCGCCGCCACCGTGATGGAGATGGTGGACGCAGCCACCGCCGGCGTGCCCTTCAGCGCCAACCCGCTCATCTCGGACCTCGACGAGATCATCAGTTCGCTGTCAATAGGCGTCGCCTTCAGCGCCAACCCGCTCAACTCGGACCTCGACGAGATCATCAGTTCGCTGTCAATAGGCGTCGCCTTCAGTGCCAACCCGCTCAACTCGGACCTCGACGAGATGCTCGTCGACGCGGGCTACGGCCTCGGAGAATGCTTCATCGAGACGTACAGAGATGGCCTGAGATGAGCCGAGATGTGCCGAGATTAGGCCTCGGAGAAAGCGTCGTCGACGGCAGCATCGTCGCCGACCGCTTTGTGTGGGACAAGGTGGGCCATCGATGACAATAGCAATCCTCACAATAGCGGCGAGAATGGCCGCAGTGCTAGTAGCAGACCGGTTCGTGCGGGTCAAGGTGGGCGGCCGGCTGCTCGAGAGCAAGGTGGGCAGCAAGGCGCAAGAGGTGCGGCTGGCGGCCGACGGCGGCGTCGAGGTGCGGCGCGTGGGTGCGGAGAGGCAGGCGGTGCGGAGCCTGTCCTCGGGGAACCTCGGGTAATCGGTGGTAATCTCGGGAGGATGGTGAGAGGCAGGCGGTGCGGAGCCTGTCAGACGAGCAGCTGCGGCAGCTGGCTGCGCTCGTCGCCGCCGTCGAAGGCGCGCGGCAGAAGTAGTCTGCAGCTGCACCGGGCGAGCAGCCATACCTCACCACGCCACGCCGCTCAACGAGGCGCGTACGGACGGCCGATGGACACCGAGTGGGCGTACACGGAGGCAGGCGAGCTGCGGCTCCTGCAGGCACGGCCAGTCACGACGCTGCACCCGCTCGACGAGGCGATGATCACGCCTCCGGGCGAGCCGCGCCGGCTGTACTACGACTTCAACGTCGCGAGCGAGGCGATGCGACCACTTCGCCCCTCACTCTAGCGACGACCACTTCGCCCCTCACTACGATCGTCCTCGCGCCTTGCCTTCTCATGGAAGAGACCGCTGCTAGGCGACGACCACCTCGCCCTTCACTTGCCTCGACCTCGCGGTCTACTCGGACATGTCGCTCGCCTTCCTCGGCCTGGCGGGCGCGCGCATCCCCACCGACCCGGAGCAGGTCTTCTTCAACGGCCAGACGCGCCAGTACATCAACATGTCCCACGCCTTCCGCCTCGTCGGGCCGCGCTGGTTCGCGAGCCAGCTCGAGATGGTGTGCGGCCCCTCGGCCAGCCTCTTGCTCCTCTCGGGAGCATCACCTGATCATCACCCAGGCCGAGCATCGGAAGTCGAGCCGTCTCTCGGCCTCAGGTGGACGTCTACCTGGCGGCCATCCTGCGCGGGGACGACTGCGACGCCGCCAAGTGCAAGAGCGCGGAATGAGTACCCCATTTAACAACGACTGATCATTCATCAAGCCGGCAGGTACAAGAGCGCGCGGCTTCCCTCCGGCCTCAGCTTCGGCAGCGTGTGGGGGCTGCTGCGCCAGATGCCGATGTGGCGGCAGTACCAGCTCGGCTCGCGCTGGGAGCGCGCGCCACTCGAGACCAAGGCGGAGTGCCGCCAGAGTGCCCGAGATCTGGCCGAGATGCAGCCGAGATGCAGCCGAGATGCAGCTGAGATGCAGCCGAGATGCAGCCGAGATGCAGCCGCGTGTGTGAGCCGCGCCTGTTCATGGCCCGTTCATGGCGTGCGGACACAGGCGGAGTACATCTCCGAGGCGCGCCGCAGCTCGGAGGCGCTGAAGGCGCTCGAGGAGCGCGGCGTCACCTCGGCGGGCTTCGAGTCCTTCTACGCCGAGCTGCTCGCCGCCGTCTACCCCGTGCTCGAGCTCGAGATGGCGGTGATGCAGGTGGTCCCGTCTTCGAGGCGATCTCGCGCAATCTCGGGTAACCTCGGGTAACCTCGCGTAATCTCGGGCAGGTGATCATCCCCGTCTTCAAGGCGCTCGACACGGCGCGCGTCAAGGGGAGGACGGCGCAGGAGGGGGAGGAGGCGGGAGGAGTCGTGCGGTCGAGGTGCGGGCAGCGTCTCTCGACGGCAGCGGCCGAGCCTGTAGGAGCGGGAGGAGGCGGACGCCTTGTGCGGCGGTTTCGAGGAGGACCCGCTCATGCAGATGAACATGCAGATGTGCGACGACCTCGACCACCGCACACGACCCCTCCACACGCGTCTGCCTCCACCTCTCCCCGCCCAACCCGTTCAACAGGTACGACCTCGCGCACTTGCTGCCTCCCTCGGTCTGGGCAGAGTACGGTGAGGAGGGCCTCCCCGCGCTGACGGGTCGGATCCTCGCCAACGTGGCGCCGCCGCCGGACCGGCCTATGTGACACAGCCCTGGACACACGAGTCGGTTGACGCCTCTCCTGTCCACAGGCGGGCCGCAAGTCCGACCTGCCCGCGCCCTTCGTCGGGGCGTGGGTCTCCTTCATGCGCGAGTACGGCTGGGACGGCGCCGACCAGCTGTTTGTGAGCTCTCCCCGCTACGCGGACTCGCCGCACCTCTTGGTTTCCAAGGTGGGCCACAACAGGAGGGGGGCCCTTTTTCCCCCCCCCCCCCCCCTCTATCCGCCTCCCCTCTCCCTACAGTACCCCCCCCCCCTCTCTGGCAGGCGGCATCAGCAACCCAGCCGACATTCTGAAGGAGCGCGTCGCCAATCGGCGCCGCGTGATGCGCGCGCAAGAGGAGCGCGGCGGACGCGGCTCGGGCGGCCTCTTTGCGCGCTGCGCCGGCGCCAGCCTCGAGAATCCTCTCACACAGCTTGTTTCTCCGGCCGCATCTTTGCTCTTTTCACAGGCGCCAACCTCGAGAAGCGGAACCTCCACCTCGACCATCTGATGTGGATCCGGAACGCGCCCAAGCTGCGCATGGCCCGCGTCACCGCCGCTTTCCGCTCGGCGCTGCTCGCGGCGCAGGCGGACCTCCTCGCCGCCGGCCGGCTCGAGGCGCGAGAGGACATGAGATCACGAGAGACCGAGATGACCCGAGATCAGCCGAGATCACCCGAGGGGGGCCTGCTCGGTGCACATGACCTCCTTGGGTCGTCTCGGGCCCCCTCCCCAGGCGGAGGGAGATGTCTTCCACGTCTCGGTGCAGCAGCTCGACGCGGCCATCAAGGAGAGCAGCTTCGACCTGAGGGCGGCCGTCACGCCGAACAGGGCGACCTACGCGCGCGCCAAGAGCGCAAAGAGCTGCCCCATGCTCATCGACTCGCGCGGCCGGATCCTCAAGCCGAACCTCGTCGAGGGGGAGCCCGGCGAGACGCTTCCTAGACACTTCCGGTATACACTCCCTAGACACTTCCTAGACACTTCCTCAAGCCGAACCTCGTCGAGGGGGAGGCAGGCACGCTCGTCCGGGGCTCGCCAGCTCTCTCTCTCTCCACACACACACCTTGTCAACCGCTCTCACACCCGTCTATCATCCACAGGCGCTCTCGTCGGGGCGGCGATCTCTCCCGGCGTTGCGAGCGGGCGCGTGCGTGTCTGCACCTGCTCCACCGACCCGATCGCGCCGGGCGAGGCGCGCCCCTGCGTGCGGTGCGAGAGGAGCGGCTTGTCCTCGTGCGGGGAGAGCAGGGGCCCTTCACGTAGGTGCTCGTCGCCATCGTCACCGACCCGGCGTGGACGCCGATGTTTGCGGGCGCCTCGGCCGTCGTCCTCCAGATTGGCGGCGCGCTGCAGCACGGCGCGCTGTGCGCGCGCGAGTACGGCGAGCCGGGACTTGGGCAGGGCAGAAGACCGCAGCCCGGGACGCGTCCCCGACACGTCCCCGGATGACACGCCCCCCCTGCAGGCAAGCCCGCCGTCAGCGGGATCGACGTGATGGCTTCGCTCAAGACGGGGATGCAGGCCCGGCGCACGCGTGCGCCTTTCCGCCAGAGGGGAGAGGGGGAGGGGCGGGGAGGGGGGGAGGGATGCCCAGTGCGCAGCAGCCAGAATGTCCCACGCTCTGTCGCACACCGCGCGAGGTTCTCATTGGCGACGCCACCACCTGCCCGCTCGCTCCACCCCTACGAGAGGGTGGAGTCTGTTAGTGTCGTCGAGTACTTCCCTCCCCGCCCTGACTAGGTCACGGTTGACGGCAACACCGGCATCGTCCGGATCGACGAGAGCCTCCGCCGGAGCTTCTCGCGCCGCCTCTCCGATCGGGACCTCCAGGGCGTCGAGGCCTGAGAGCATGCCTGCGAGAGCGAACGGGTCTCTCGCTCGAGAGGAGAGAGGAGCCGAGCGACAGGTGACGAGGCCCGCATCGGGTGTCATACATCGGGGCTCGAAGCCGAAGGGACCAACTCTCTCTCTCGCGCGCGCGCCGTCTGGCCGGCGGGGGTATGGCGTGTTGTGCTTGTTGGACAAGAATACTAACACCCGCGCTCGCTCATGAATCTCCGCACCAAAAGTCAGAGAACGGAGCTGTGAGACAAACACCCTCTGAAGAGACACAATATCGTCGGCGCGCGCCGCAGCTAGCTGCCGCCTCCGCCGCCGCCCGACACTCGTATGACGCGGTGCTCCGCGGCTAGCTGCTGGCCCAGCTGCCACTCCCCCTGGATGCTCGGCGTCGACCGGAACGGCTTGTCCCACTTGCGCAAGCGCACGGGTCTGCTGTCGCGGAGGAACTGGAGGCGCATCGAGACCTGCTGCCAGCTGAGGCCCTTGAGCGAGAGGGCTTTGTCGCCATCGGCCAGATAGCGCGCCTTGACGTGAGGGTGCCGGCCCGGCTGCCGCGACGCGATGATCTCGATCTGCGGATTGGCCTTGGCGAACGGCGCAAGCTGCGTCGAGATCCAATCGCGCACGCCCTGGCTGCTGCCGCCGTAGTCGCAGTACTTGAGCAGCAGCGTGCGGAGCTGCCACACACCCCGCGAGCACATATCCGGCGCCGACGCAAAGCTGGGTTCGGGTTCCTGGGCACGTGGGGCTTGCATTTGTCCGATATCGATATCGAAACCCAAATATCTGACCCCGGAAATAGACCATGAGAGCAGTTTTTGCCAATGCTTCGCCTTCGGGGTCTCTAATAAAGCCTGCGCCCGACGGGGCAATCCAAGCGCAGGCCCCGCACGCGGCCCTGCTGCCATCCCGTCGCTACCCACTTGATTTGCCAACAATATACCTAAAACCGTGGGGGGGGGGGGGGGGCGCGGCAGTGATCCGACCCAGTGCTACTCGTATGTCCGACTCCGACCCGCTCGCTCGCTGCCTCGAGCTCAAGGACAGCGGCAACGCGGCTCTCAAGGTGGGTGACACTGCTGAGGCGATCCGGATGTACGAAGAGGCGGCGTCGCTCGCCGAAGCGCATCCAGACAAGAGCGTGCTTGCCGCTGTGTGCTCGAACCTTTCCGCGGCTCTCCTCCGCGCGGAGCGTGCGGAGGAGGCGCTGGTGGCGGCCGGCCGCTCCGTCGGCGCTCGGGTGGACTGGTCCAAGGCTCACTTCCGGCGCGGCGAGGCGGCATTCGCGCTGCGGCAGTACAAGGAGGCGCGAGAGTCGTATCGGCACGCGGCGGAGCTGGACGCCAAGGAGATCAAAGAGGCGCACGGCGCGAGCGCGGTGCCGCAGCGGGCGGACAAGAGCCTCTCTGCGGCGGTCGCCGTCTGCGACGAGGCGATGCCGGGCGGGATCGTGGCTCCGGAAGCTGCTTCACTGATGAGTTTTAGGGCACGGGCACTAGGCGATGAAGGGCGGGCTGTGGTTCCGGCAGCTGCTTCCGGGCAGAGACGTGGCGCTCGTGCGGGCGGGCGCCAGCCAGCCGCAGAAGAACCTCTTCCTCGCGGCGGCGAGCATGAAGAACTTTGTCTACCTGGTCGGTGACGCGGCGACGCGCGAGTGCTACGTGGTGGACGGCTGCTGGGAGGGGGAGGCGCTGCGGACGTGAGCACAGCGTCTCTTCACTCCTCGAGCTGTACACAGGTGGACGGCTGCTGGGACGTGGAGGGCATCGTCGCGCTGGCGAGGCGGCACAAGATGAGGCTGGTCGGCGCGGTGGGGGCGCACCTCGCCCTCCACCCACACGCTTCGCCTTCTGCGATCCACGCGCGTCTCCTGTAGGTGGGGACGCACTACCACTTTGACCACGTCGGCGGCAAGGATCGGCACGGCGGGCCAGCGCCCTCCCCCGCACCCCGGGGCGTAATGCCTGCCCCCTGACACCGCAAGGTGCCCCCCCGGCTGGTTGCCATGGTGTGCGGCCCCTTCGCGCAAGAGGCGCAGCTGCCAGGGCTGGGGGAGCTGTCTCGCGACCACGGTGTGCCGCCGCTCGTGCACTCGCTCGAGGTGGGTCGAGGTCACCCGAGGTCACAAGAGGTCACCCGAGGTCACCCGAGGTCACCCGAGGTCACCCGCTCGAGGTAGGTGGGTCGCGTCGCGAAGCAGTGCAGCCTCGAGCCGGCGGAGGTGCGCCCTCTCGAGCACGGCGCCGTGCTGCCCCTCGGCCCGTCGGCCGGCGAGATCGAGGTGCTGCACACGCCGGGCCACAGCGGCGGCTCGGTCTGCCCCTCCCGTGCGGCGGCTTCCCATCGCACCTCTCGTCTCGCGATTGCCGCCTCTCCTTTCCAGGTCTGCCTCTGCGTGAGGCGGCCAGGCGGAGCCGTCGCGTCGGTACTCGTCGGCGACACCATCTTCCCCGGCTCGTGCGGCCGGCGCGACCCGCCTCCACCTCCTGAGGCTCCTCATCGTGACGAGACACACGTGGCGATCATTCATCCTTATGAGTAGGCTCGACTTGCCGGACTCGGACGTGGACGCGATGTTCGACTCGCTGCAGCAGCTGCGCGCCCTCGGCGACGACGTCGTCATCTACCCTGGCCACGGGTACAGCGGAGACAGGACGACGGTCGGCAAGGAGAAGGTGAGCGGCCTCCTGCGCCCCTTCAGCCGAGAGCAGTGGCGCGCTATGCACTGATCCGCAACAACAACAAATGATGTGTGAGTGTTAGATTTGTTTCGGATTTGATATTTATTGTGGGATTTCTTGTAAGCTGGCTTTCTCGTAGAAGTATTTAATGTATTAAAAGGATAAGGAAGGTCCCCCGCCATCGGTGCCACCCCTGCCACTCTGGGGGGGCGCGGGGGCCCTAGAGAGGGTATCCATGCGGGGGGGAGATGGGGCGGTCCGATGGCCTGCCGCAGGCGCCGATTTTTTCGGAGTTTTTTTCTTTTTTGCGCCATGTTTCACTTGTTTTCATGGGAATTCGGCGTACTTGTGCGGCCATGCTACCACGCCTTGCGACATCCTTTCGGCGCTGCTCTGACCGTGCCATGCTGCACAATTGAGATCACCTGCATAGCTCGCGGCCTTAGTATCAAGCATTCAGTGACGACCTGATCGTACGACCAGTAGGAAGGTGTCCTTCCAGCCGCGTGCACGCTTCTGACGCAAAGCCGTCACAAACTGCCTCAGATTGGCTGCTGGCACTCTCGAGGCTATGCCTACACAGCCTCGCGCGCATGGGCAGTCAAGAGGGACCACGCACCTTCTCCGGACAGCGCCGGTGCCTCTCTCTTGGACCGGCAAACGTGGTGGTCTCGTGTTACCAATGTGGGACCAGTGCGGCATCGCGCCATCGACAGCTCTGAACTGCGCCTCACCACTGACCGGGAAGGCCGCCAAGGGGGCCAGCACAGGTCGCACATTGTGGCAGCAGTCAGCAGTGACTGGTTGGGTAGTAGTCTAAGTTCTGAGCCTCGAGGCTGAACGGGTCTAAGTGTGGCTAGCCACGCTGGAGTGCTTGCGCGGTCTAAGATCAGCGGGAGCCTCTTACATCGGCTAAGTCGGCCGTGGCACGGCCTGGGGCCAGGAGGCTCCTCCACCGTGATCAACGATACGGCGCAGCCCCCAAATTTTCTTCGCCTGCGGCGGGCTATCGATCCTCTTCATGCTTAGCAATCGCCGCCTCAGCATCCTCCTCTTCCGACTTTCGTTGCTGCTCCTTCATTCTTGAGCGACGTCTAGCCAAACAGTTCTCACATGACACGAAGCTCCTCAAGCTTAATCAAACGTGTGACGGTGAAGGCGTGAAGCCTGTGTGTGCTGGTCCTCTTTGAACGATCCGCGCGTGAGGTAGCATAGGGCCTTGTTGGCAGCAGCCAGCTTGTTGCGCTGCTTCGTTGCGATGAGCTGATTGGGATCGCAGAAGTGCATGCCAAGCACCGCCACGATCTTGAAGCAGAACACATCGCAACCGCATCGTCCGCACTGCCATCGGCATGCCGCGCCCGCCGCTTCGCCGCAGCCGCCTTAAGGCACGCATAGCGGCAGCACATGGTACGGTGCGCGTACTTGAGCAGGCGTTGCGCGCCGTGAGTAGCGCACTGGCCCTGGGAGAAGGCGATATGGCGTCGTGCGCGGCATACGTTGGTCGGACGCGTCCAGGTATTTCGGGTAAACCTGGAGGCTTTTCAGGTATACCCGGGTTTTGCCCGGAGTGGCCTTATGTCGTCTAAGTTCATGGCCCCCGACCATACAGCGTCTAAGTCTGAGCCCGGCTCGGTGCGGGGGCTAAGTTGAGCGCTCGCTCGCTGCAGAGGCTAAGTGTAGAGCGACCCTCTAGCCCTACTACCCAACCATTCAGCAGTGCATGTCTGATAGCTAGAGCAGCAGCGTCAGAGACCTGCCAGTTTCGGAGGGCAAACCCTGCCCGGCCCCTAGGTGCTAGGAACCTAGGGACCCCAGGTAAGGCCCAGGTGTGGCCTAGGGCATCACAAGGGACCAAGAGGAGTCCAGTCTGAGCCATAGAGCCCATATCTTAGCCCCCGAAGGTCGCGTTCAAATGCCCGCGGGAACGGCCGTGACGCGTCTCAGTGGTGTCCGGCCGGCGCGATCACCGAGCTGTGACGCTCAGGGAAGCCTGATGAGGTGCTGGTTTCTTTGCCCAGGCCTGGCCTTCCCCCCAGGCTGGATCAGCTGAGCAAGGTTTGGGGAGAATCCTATATTAGGATCTCTCTGTGTGGAGACACGATTTTACCGCGGTAAGGCTCGAGTTCACGAACTAGTTCGAGGGTTCGGGCACCCAAGGGCGAACGACCGAACCGATGCAGCGAACCAAGGGGATGCGTCCAGAGCGAACTCCGAAACCGAACGAACCGCGAGTTTACCGACCGAACCAGTTCATGAACCAGTTCGCCAGTTCGCCCGCGAACGTCAAAGGCTGTTGTTGTCACCTACAAAGATTTTTACAACAAAGCTCCCTCGCACGACACTGGGCACGGGACTGGCGCGCCCTGGCACTAACACAGGTACACCCACCTACTACAAAGAAATCTCGCCGTTTTCGCGCCCTCATTGCAATACACGTGTGCCCGCCACCCGACGTACTCGTGTACTTAATGGTTTTCGGCATCGGGTCCCTCTCTGGCGGCTTCGTCAAGCTCAACGCCCTCTTCCCTCCCATCATCGCGGTCGCGGCCGCCTCCCTCCGCTGGTTTGTCGCCTCGTCCGCGTCGGAAATGGTGCTCGCGGCGCTGCCGGTGCCGGTGGAAAAGGTTCCTTTCCTGGTGGCCGCGTCACTGCCGGCCCTCATCTTCATCTCGGGTCTCTTGCCCATCATGGGCCTTGCCGCCGCCAAGCCCGACGGCTACGACAACCGCCATCCTCGCCTCATGAAGACGGCCGAGTCACTGATGCCCAAGTACCCGCTGAATTTCCGGCTGCAGAGCGCGCACAACAACACCATCGAGATGGTGGCAATGGCGGCGCCGGCCTTCTTCGTCGCTCACGCCCTCGGCCTCAACCAGCTCCTGTTTGCGAAGCTCTCTGTCCTGCTCCTCCTCGTGCGCCTCGTCTACATCCCGCTCTACGCGCTCGACTCAGACGCCGCACGCACCACCGCTTTTGTCATGGGCGCGTTTTCCATCTTCTCCATCGGGTTCGGCGCGATATTCCCCTCAACGGTCCTGACGCTCTTTGGCATCGCCGCGCAGGCCTGAGTTCACCACTCCACGGGCTCGATCGAGCCCCGCAGCGGAGACGGCTGCAGGTGCACAGGCGCAGGACAGACACCCTTTTGAGTAGCTTGGCTTCAGAGAAGTGACGCTGCCCGATGTCGGCAAATCGGGATCAGACAGGGAAGGCTGCGTGGTCACTAGGTCTAGGAACGTGAGCGTGTGGAAGGAAGAGAGGTAGGGTAGGTATAGGGGACACGCGGTTCTCGGACGCGTGTGTTGCCGTGTGTTGCCGTGTTTCCCCTTCCACCACTCGTCTTGTGGCATGTAGGCCACCGATACCTGCACAAAACCCGCAACTGCCTCCATTCTTTCTCTTTTACGTTGATGGGCCCAAAGGGTTCCACGCCTTCTCAAAAACCTTCGCTGCTGCTTCGCACTCTCTCTCTCGAAATGGCAGCCCTTGTCGCTTGCTCCGCGCTCGTCACGTCGTTCGTCGCCCCTGCGGCGCCGCGCGCAAGCTCCCGCTCGTCCGTCTCTATGTACTACGGCACCGGCACCTACCAGACGCCTTTCACCTTTGAAGGCGGAGACTTGCGCCGTCGCCGCACACTCTCCCGGCAGGCAGCCTCTCTCTCTCTCAACCTCTGCCCCGGCGCTGCGACAATAGGCAACTCGCGAGTCGCAGACCAACGAGTGTACGTCGGCTACACAAGGAGAAGGAAGTCTGCCACTGGGGCATGCGGACCTAGCAGAGAAGCTCATGCATCAGACCGATCCGATAGTCGGCGTGATTGGCTGCTACGACGTTCGTACCGTAAGGTACCGAACTTAAGGTAAGGTAGCTTGAGTTAGGGAGCCCTTTTCCTCTTACCGAACTCCTGTTCTAATGTACCTAACTCCTGCTACCCACCTCTCGGTCCCGCCGGACCGGCACACGGGCCACGCGGCCCGCACATCACTCTGAGGCATCGCTCCCTCCTACGCTACGACCTACGAGCACCTACGAGCTCGAGTACGAGTGCCTACGCTACTAGATGCCCTCCTCCTCCTCCTCCCCCCCCCCCCCCCCCCCCCCTCCTCCTCCTCCTCACTCGCCGCACCCTCGTCGTACCAGCGAGGGCCGAGGGGGCCCGTCGCCGGTACCAAAAAAGAAATCCCCGGTAGCTAACTGCTGCTACCCCGAACCTAACTCAGTGCAAAGCACCTAACCTAACTCAAGCTACCTTACCTTAAGTTCGGTACCTTGCGGTATGGTTCTCACGTGCTCAAGGACCGCGTGCTCAAGGAGCGCATCCGAGTCGCACGCCGACCATGATTGCTGCAAGGATGTTCAGGCCATCTTCCTGATCATTACGCTCACGAATACGTTCTCTCACCCCGAGTCCGGCCTTCCAAAGTGCGTAGGGGGGGGCGGGGGGGCGCGAGCAGTCGCCAGTTCGATGCCAACGACCAATTGGAATTGCTGGGGCGTTCGGGACTTTGAGACGATCATTCGCCCACGTCCTAAGGGCACGTGGGTCCGTTGTTAAAAGATCAAGCCCAATCGGGACAGCTGCAGGAGCGCACCGATGCGAATTTGGGTGCCGACTGGTCGTCTGTGGGTGCGACGTCCCCGAACGGGAGTACACTGCTCCGGCCAGGCCTCGCCCACCGACTGAGTTTTTTTCGAGGATCTCGATCGGCATCGGCCTCTCATCTACAACGTTGCGCTCAAGCGTTTCAAGGGCTGCAGCTGCGTGCCGGCGTCTCCGAGGATGATTTGTATACCTTCCACGGGATACGTTCGTCCGCGGGTTACGGTGTACAACGGCACTGTCTGGGAGCTCGGCGAGGCGGTCGCTCAGGCCCATGGGCTTTGGAAGAGCGAGGCTCACAAGCGCCACCGGCGTTTCAAGATATGTCGCTCGTCGCGCCCATCCCCGAGCTGCGCGCAATCTGGCAGCTCGTCGAGGGTGACGATGAGGACACGCCGACGGGAGTCCGACGGGGCGGGAGGACGGGGGCGACCCCACGAGAGAGGAGCCTAGACAGGAGCCGACCCCCCCGCCCGCCTCGCGCCCCGCCTGCTGTACGCGCCACGGCGACGCTTCGGACCCCTGGGGGCGACGACGCCGCTAACGTGCAGACAGCGCGACGGCGTTCGCCCGCCCCCGGCCCGCCGGCCTCAGCGTTTGTCTCTGTCGTCTGACTCCGCCTCGGGGTGGCGCGGTGACGCCTCTGGCCCATAATTATCTGCATCGTTCCCCGCCTCGTCATCACTGTCGTCTCTCTTCTTCTTCCTCCTGTTCGTGGACGGAAGAGCACGTCGATTCCTTTTCGCGTGAGCGCTAGCTTGAAGCCCACCCAACAGTCATATCCCGCTCTGCGGGTTGGAGCTTGCGTTGGAGGAACATTTAGTCTGGCCCATTTCGCTCAATGGGAACACCCTCATCCATGTGTTCCGACCCTCATCCAACCCTGTTCCGACCGTGGTCCGGAAATAGGACCGTCACCACGGGGCTCACCCTGTTCCGCCCCTGATCCGACCATGTTCCGACCTTGGAGCCGACCCATGTTCAAAGTGATGACGGTCGGAACAGGTCAGTACTCAGCTTCGGTCTGATCACAGTCGGATCAAAGGTCGGAACAGGTCAGAGTCCTACCCTCTTTATGATGTAGAGTTTGTTGTAGAGATTTCACGTTGTAGAGCGCCTCTACATCGCTCTACAACGCACCCGCATCGTCACGCGGCGGATGTAGAGCTCTACAGCTCTACATACAGCGCTCCAGAGCGCTCTACATCTCTACAGCTCTACAGCGCTCTACACTCTACTCGAGTACATCCTCTACACCCTCCCTCAGCGCCGCGCAGGCGCCGAGGCCTGAGTGAGTTCACCACTCCCACGCGCCGCTCGATCGAGCCCCGCAGCGGCCAGCGGAGACGGCTGCAGGTGCACAGGCGCAGGACAGACACCCTTTTGAGCAGCTTGGCTTCACGGAGAAGTGACGCTGCCCGATGTCGGCAAATCGGGATCAGACAGGGAAGGCTGCGTGGTCACTAGGTCTAGGAACGTGAGCGTGAGAGAGAGATTTTTAGCAATACCAAACAACTCTAACACTCACACGTCATTTGGGGCCTGTTTTTTGTTTTGTTTTGAGCGCGTGTGGAAGGAAGAGAGGTAGGGTAGGTATAGGGGACACGCGGTTCTCGGACGCGTGTGTTGCCGTGTGTTGCCGTGTTTCCCCTTCCACCACTCGTCTTGTGGCATGTAGGCCACCGATACCTGCACAAAACCCGCAACTGCCTCCATTCTTTCTCTTTTACGTTGATGGGCCCAAAGGGTTCCACGCCTTCTCAAAAACCTTCGCTGCTGCTTCGCACTCTCTCTCTCGAAATGGCAGCCCTTGTCGCTTGCTCCGCGCTCGTCACGTCGTTCGTCGCCCCTGCGGCGCCGCGCGCAAGCTCCCGCTCGTCCGTCTCTATGTACTACGGCACCGGCACCTACCAGACGCCTTTCACCTTTGAAGGCGGAGACTTGCGCCGTCGCCGCACACTCTCCCGGCAGGCAGCCTCTCTCTCTCTCAACCTCTGCCCCGGCGCTGCGACAATAGGCAACTCGCAGACCAACGAGTACGTCGGCTACAACGACATGATCCGCAACCGTGGCGATTACTACCGCAACGGTGAGTCGCTTCGCGACGCCGGCCGCACCAACGTGTACGCCGGCAACGGAATGTCGCGCTACAGCCGCGCCATGGACCGCATGTACTCGCGCTCGTACGGGATGGGCTACGGCGGCGGCTACGGCGGCGGGTATGGCGGCATGCGCGGCGGCTATGGCGGCATGCGCGGCGGATACGGGATGATGGGCGGATACGGCGGCGGATACGGGATGATGGGCGGATACGGGGGTGTGCCCTCGCCGCCCGCTCACACAGCCCTCTCTCCTCGTCGAGACGGGCGGGCCGTGTCTCATCTCTAGGCTATGGCGGCGGCTATGGCCGTGGCGGCGGGTACGGAATGATGGGCGGATACGGCGGGTGCGATGAAGATGCCCGCCCCTCCCTCTTTCCCAGGCTTGTTCGCTCTCACAGGCCCGCCCCCTTGTCCGCCAGGTACGGCCGCGGCGGCTACGGCGGCTACGGCGGCTACTGAGTCGCGTTCGCCATTGCGGCGGCGAGGTTGCGGCGGTGCCGGTTCGCAAGACTGCCTGGCGCCGCCCGTCGATCAGCCGCCGGGCGCGAGGCATGGGCGGGGCGCGGACCGCGCGCATGCGGGGCGAGAGAGCGCGCACCATAAGGTGCACACTCTGGGCCTTCGGGAGGGGCGTGAGATGATGGCGGTGCGATGCACCGCCAGACGATGGGGCGGTTTTGCCGGCAGACACTGGACGAGGCGCGGCATAGTGCCCGCGGGGTGTGTAAGAGTCGTGTGTTATCGTTGTTGTCATGTGCTCGAATTACGTATATTTGAATGATGTCAAGAGTCGAAGATCGTAGGACGAACGAACGTGATCGTGAAACACAGTGAAACACAGTGAATGTGAAGCACGGAGACGCGATCTTGGGTCAACTCGAACGAGATTGTTGAAGCTTGAACATGTTCGGCCCGCCGCGTCTCTCAAGACAACACAAGACTCAAGAGCAGTCTTGTTGTTGTCACAACACGCCGATCCCTTCACCCCTCATTATCCACCTCTGAGAAGGGGGCCGCCACAGACCGAGGGTCGTAATGCAACAGCGGCACCGTCCTGTTGCTCTGCTCCGCCGCCGCCCACACTGCTCGGGCGAGCCTCACCGCCATTCCGCTCGCCCTGCTGTCGACAACGACCGCCCGCACGAAGCGCTGGAGCCCGTCGTCGCCGCTGTCCGCAATGTCGAGCACCAGCTCGTTGTGGCTGAGCGCGCACCAGCGTCCCTCGACGCACCGCTCCGCCTCCATTCCGTCGAGGCACCTACACGCACACACACGCGGAGCTCGACAGCGAGTCATCTAAACCGCCCCACTCCGGAAAGCACTTGGCCAGCTCATCCGGCTTGTAGGCGCGGGCGTCGCCCTCGAAGCCCCATGGCCGCGCCTCGCGCTGTGCGTAGTCGCGGTCCCCGCAGCCTGGAAAGCGTGCGGTCAGGAGGGGCGTTGGCCACGGTCCAAGGCTGACGGCAGAGGCTACACGCCGGCCTGGAGTGCAGCCGGCGCCGCCGCCAAATGTGCCGCAGTGGAGCTTCGTCGAGCCGGCATCGAAGGGATAGCAGCATCGTAATCGACCCCGCAGCACCTTGTGCGGTGGGGACGCAGGAGGCTAGCCGCTATGTCACGGTCACACGTCTCGGTCGACAGGGCCTCGCCTCGGCGTCGAGCAGCACGGCGGGCAGGTGTGTGTAGCCGGCCTCCGCGAGCAGCGGCACATTCGAGGCGTCGTAGAGGCCGGGAGAGCGAAGGCTGAGGAGGCTGCAGGAGAGGCGATCACCCCACGGATGGCTGCGGTCGGGCACGCCGAGAGTGTCCCACAGCGTGCGGGCGGGCGGCGGCAGGCCGCCAGGTGAACCGTTGAAGCCCGACATGTCAATCCCCTGTGAGAGTGGGTGAGGGCATGTGAGGAGCGAGGAGGGACAAGGTGCTGAATGATGTGTCTTAGAGCTCTCCTGGCCATCCAGCACGTGGGCCAGCACGCCCGCGGCGCCGCCCCACTGACCATTCAGGATGGTGACGATGGTCGAGGATGTCGGTGGCGACGGCGGTGGCTGCGGTGGCGGTGACAGAGTTGTCGATGGAGGCGGCTGCGGCGGCAGACGCGATGGTAATGGAGGCGGCGGTGGTGGCAGAGGCGATGGTAATGGAGGCGGCGGTGGTGGCAGCGGTGGCAGCGATGGAGGCGACGGCAGCACAGGCGACGGCAGCGCAGCTAGCCACACGAACAGAGGTGTTGATGCAAGGAGCAGTGCGGCTGCGGCATATCCTCTCGAGCAAACAAGCCTGGGCTTGAGGTCGGTGTCTCCACTGCTGTCATCGAGCGGGACGATGCTGTGGCTCGCGTGCAGGTGGTTGAGCATACGCGCTTCGACGGGCGCTGTGGCGGTTTCCCTCGACACTCCCCGCTCATTTCACTCTCTGTCTACTGTCTGTGTCTTGTCCTGGGTGGATCTGTGTGTCGCTCCTGTGGGACCTTCACCGCCCGTCTTGCGTCCACCCACATCGAGTGAGAGAGAGAGGGACACACAGATCCGCGCTGGTTGGTGTCCCAGTGCCAGTCCTCTTGGTCGGAAGACTGTGTTTCGCCTTCCTATCAATCAAACTGTGTACAAAAGTCCGACGCCCAACCAGCCTTCGCTCTGTCCCCAATCTCTCATGACCCGGCTCTAATCCTTCTTCCCCATCGCGGCTGATTGCGCAGCGGACATAGCAGCCCCGCCTGCGTCCTTCACCTTGTCCATGACGCCGCCGAGGCTGTCGTCGATGGCCGCCTGATAAGGGAAGCAGGTGCAGGTGGAGAAGGCGCGATGAGAAGACTACACACGCTGTCGGGGCGGTATCTCCGCCCTCGTCTCTCTATGCATCGACCTGGTGCTTGAGCAGGATTGGCCGCAGCATCTTGTAGACCAGCTGTGCGGGCAATGGGCCATGAGATGACGCGTGCACGGTATGCAGTCGTACGTGGTTGCACCCCGGAGTGCGGGGGGGGGGCTTGCGCTTGTGCTTTGGAGGTGTGCATGCAGCCGTACCTTTGCTCCGCCGAGAGCCAGGAAGACGACGGCTCCGAGCTTGATCTCGTTGTAGAAGGGGATGATGAATAGGACCTGCCGAGGGTCAGCGCGAAATATGGCTGAGATGAGGCTAGAGGTCAGCCGACACGGCAAGATCCAACTCCACAAAGGGCAAGACCCACGTAGTCAGCGATGGACTCGATGAAAGCCAGGAGCGAGTACACAAACCAGAAAGTCAGCCATTTGGTGTCGTCGTCGCCCGCCTCGGACTCGAGCGCCTTGAAGGAGAGGTAGCCGCAGACGAGGAGAATGGCGTTGGTGATGAGGCCGCAGAACGGGATCATGCTGGCTCGTGGCAGGCGCTCGGCGAGTACCACCAGCGGCCGCGTAAAAACAGCTTGCGAATGCGGCCGTCCAATTTTAGTGTTTTTCAGGTTTTCATCATCACGTTAGTGCACCATTACTCATCTGGCTCTGAACGACTGCCAAAGGTGAGGTAGGAGTCCACGGTGCTCCCCCCATCTAGCACAGCATCTTGGTAGCTGTGCCTGTGCCCTGTGGCGCGAACAGACAGCTTCGTTCATTCAGCTTTTCTCGCCCGCCGTCTGCTGAGGGCGAGGCGCCGAGCTACGGTTCCAACGCTGCAGCACTCTCTCTCTATTCACAGTAGAGATGGCGACGCGTCCTTACGCGCGCGTCCTCCGTCCCCACCTAGCACCTTGCTCTCTGCTTCAACGTGCTGCCATGGAGCCAGCGCGCCTCGCGCCATGATTCAATCCGGATACAGCGCTCAGCAGGAGTCGGACGACCTTCGACGGCTCTGTATATGGTCTAAATGGAATATGGAAAGCGGGATAACCTTTCTACATACCTATAGTGCATAGACAGAGAGCGCGTGAGCCGTCGGGGCTGGGTGTGGGTAGCCTGTTCTGTAGATCTAAACTGTGTATATGTCACATGATGTATGTCGAGTGCAGAGTGGAGTATTTTTGGGGTTCATTCGTTTTCGTTAACGTTCTTTTTGTGCATTGTGGCCATTTCGGTTTTCGCATTCGTGTGAATTTCAATTTTGAAATCGACCGTTTCAAATCTCGAATAATCTCGTGGCAAGACGAGAGATCACAGGCACATGAGACCTTCGGTCGTGCCTCACAGACGCCCAAAACGCGGCCGCGGTAGTCCACCCGTCCTCATCCGTTCATGAAGAGCCCACCGAAGCGCCGCCGCGGGAGTACCGCCCCCGCAGATACTCGACAATGTCGGCGCTCTCGGCCAGCTGCACGCCGCTATTTGGGTCGAGCAAGAAGGGGCATTGGCTCGACCCGCCCGTGAGTATTTTGAGCTCCTCGCGGCGCGGGCTGCCCTTGCCGGCGGAGCGGAGCTCGTACGGCAGGTCGAGCTCGCAGAGCACCTGAAGGAGAAGGGAGTGGGATGCTACCAGCTGCGGGGAGAGGGCGGCGGTGGGGCAGCGTGCGGCCCGCGCCTCTCTCACAAGGCGGCAAAATTGGTTGCCCTCGTACGAGTAGAGGACGAGCGGCCGGTCGGGCGGGGCCGGCAGAGCAGACTTGTCGACCAGCCCCCCGCGGCCGAGGCGCAGCGCAGAGGCGACGAAGCCGGTGCCGACGCCCGGCACGTCCACGGTTGCGCCGTACTTTGCAATCAGGTGGCGGCAGATTTCTTCCGACTCAAAGAGCCGAGTATCGCCGTCGAGGAGGAAGGGCACCTGCACATTACTCCCGGCGGCGGCGGCGTACTCGGCGAGAGCGTCGCGGGAGCGAGAGCCGCGCGCGGACGGGACGAGGTTGACGACCATATCGAGCTCGGTTGCAACCTCTCGCACACGTCGGCAGAAGTGGCAGCCCTCCATGTCGTACAGCGTCGGCGGCGCTTGGTCTGTCTGGCCGCCGCGGCTGCCCTCAGTGACCGTCACACCTCGAGGCAGGCGTGCAATGGAGGCAAACCCGCTGGTGAGGGTGTCGAGAGGCGTGAGGTTCGGCACAAGGGCGGCAACAGCCGCAAAGGCAAAGGCTGGTGAGGGTGTCATTGCACGTCTGCTATGGCTGCAGCACTGTCAAGCTCTCCAACCGCGGCAGAAGGCAGGCAGGGTTCGGACTTTTTGCGGGGTATGGTATGTGCCACGAGACAATTTCCCCCCCGCCTGCTGACAGACCTACTTGGGGGTATGGTAGGGCTAGTCTTGGGCGGTCGGGACCAATGATCCCCTCTTTGGGCCGCGAGGGTACCATACCATACCCCGGAAAAAGTTGGAACCCAGTGCGGGAGAGAAGAAGAAGAATTCTAGGTCCCAAAGAATTGCAGAACAGCTGAGTCGACTCCCATCCTCCCATCCCTCCCTGGGTTCTCTGTTTTCTTTCTTCCCCCCCTCCCTTGGGTTCGCTGTTTTCTTTCTTGTTACTTGTATCCCTCCCTTGGGTTTTCTCTTCTCTTCTCTTCTCTTTCTTTCTTTAAAGGCTGAGTCGTCCCAAATCAGCAGTTCACCCTCGGGTATATGTTCGTAAGAACCACATACACTGAAAATCCTGCTCGCTGCAGGTGGGGGCGACCTTGTGGTCCTCTCCCATCCGCCATCCTCCCTCGTTTGGGACGTCTGTTTTGATTCTTTTTTTCGAGGTTCCCGTCCCTTGGGCTGTCTTGGAGTACTTGTCTGTTTTCTTTCTTTTCTCGATGGCCCCCGGAGAGTGACTCTCCGAGAAAGCAGCCGTTCCAACGGCAGACGAGGATGAAGAGGAGGAAAAGCCCGTGGTACAGCACTTCGACGCGGTCGCCGAGGCTCAGTTTG